AAATATGTTTTTTGCAGGAACTCTGTGTTTCAGAACTTTTCCAGTTTTACAGATTAGAGCAGAATGTTGCTTCTCCAGGTCTGGATCTGTTTCTGGGGACGTAAACAACAACGACAACAACAACAAATCTTTATGGTCATGTAGAACATAAACATATAACTCACAGCTTAGTGTACTAATACTGTAGTGTTGTGCATTAGTGACCACGCTTTGTAATATAGCTATTATCAGGTTTTACCTTGACATGAAAATATAGGCATTTATTTCAGAAATTCACAGAATAACACACATTTTCTCAATAAACATGGTGCCATTGTGATGTGACATCACATAATGAGGTCCAGTCATGCTCTCAGATGCAATTTTACACATTAAAAGGACGGTTCTGGTTTTTTGTTCATGACTGGGAGCATTTCTCGTATGGCTTCTTGCACACCAACACCACTCACATTGTATGCACTTGATCTTGACTTTTGAACTTGAGTCATGACATCACTGGTGTATTGACTCAGTGGATTGCCATATTTTAGTCCTATAAGTTTGAAACTCTACTTCCTTGTTTCATTGCCTTCTTGGTGTTTTATATGTTTTTGATCTTCAATGTTGTATTTTGCCTTTTATTTTGCACTTTAAAATTATGATCATTATTATTTGGTTGAATATCACAGTGATTCAAGGCAAACTTATTCAAACCAGCTCCACCTGGTGACAACCTGCAGCATTTGTAGAGACGTCCGGATCCCGGGTGACGTGTTGAAGACAGAAGGCACAACTTTTGTTGAATTTAAATAAATGAATATGAGATCAAGCTACACAACATGTGCCAGACTATCGGTTGCTTTTCAAATGACAGCATGCCAAGTTGCATTGCGGTATTTCAGCTTGCCAAGCTGCTATTTTCATTCATATATTTTAGATATGCTTTATGAAACCATCCACTAAACACTTGGTGGAACTGCTCATCTGCTGAGCTCCTTTGGTGACCAAAGAGGGGAGAATTTTTCTTCATAATTTTTAAGCACATCTTTTGAGCCACTACAAACACAAAGTGGTTACTGTAAGGTCAGATGAGGGGATGGACTAAGATAACTGTATGGAGCTTGACAGGGAAGCTGTTTTTACAAGCAGATCGTTCAAACACACACACACGGCCACTGCAGCATGATTAAAAGATATTTCAAACAGAGACTATTAGAACATTCATGCTTTCTGATCCAGTTTAGAAAATTATTGATTTTGTTTTTTCTAAGTTCATTTGTAAAATAAAGACGAATACCAGAGTTCATCCAAAACTTACAGGTCCTTTTGAATACGAGCATTTGATTTCCCTTCGAATGAAATGAAAAGGACAATAGAAATAGAGATGTTAACACCTTGGACCTTCACAGCTCTGAGCGCACACCTATTTCTTACACACAAAACTTATTGAATTGGTTGGGATTAGGCAAATGCAACTTATGACTGTGTTTTTGTGGGTTTTTTCTTTTTATTTTTTTGTATCTTGTATCTGGCTTTAAGTAATTAGGTCTGCTTAAAAATGGGAATCATATTGTTTTTAAGTTGGAAGCATAAAAATAATCGAAATGAAAATAATTTACAATTATTATTATAATTATTATAATTCTTGTTATTACTATTATTTGTGACTATTTCCATTTTTGTGGATTTGATCAAAATTAGGATTAATCCTTTCACAGCGAGCTGAACATGTGGGTAACAACTCAGAGGAAACCGAGGCAACGCCTTTTGAAGTACAGTAGTCAGAGTGTGGCTGAAACCTCGGAAACTTGTCAGAGGTTTGAAAATTTCCACTGCTTGGGGAGAAAAATCTGGACAGCTCTCAAAGTGAAACGAGAGTCCGATACTGATGCCGACTCTCCTGCAGAGGAAAGCGTTTTAAAAGAAACAAGAGGACGAAGGTCTCATCTGTGCTTGTTTGTTTTTTCGTCTTTATTACTGCAGAGTTGCAAAGGCGTTGTGATGTTTTTTTAACAAAAATGAGCTAAAAACATCTGGAAATAATTAATTGGATAATCTGAACAAAGATAGAGGCTTTGTTTTCAAATAAAAAGGCTCAGAAACAGTCAGGCTATAACTGAGGGCAGAAATGAGCAAATGAACAAATAAAAAGTGAGAAGAAAACAATATTTCTGAATGATAACCCAGCCTAACCTAATACTAGCTGAATTCTGTATCTGATTGCAACCTGTTCACTTTACTGCAGCAGATATGAGAAGAGCAAGATGACTGACCTTTTGTGACCTTAAGGGCCCGGTCCTTTGATATTTTTCAAATATCTGTTAATTTTTTTTTTTCCAAAATTAACTGTTGTAAATGAATTTTCTCATATTTTATTATCTTTCTATTTATAAGATGATTCTCAACTGTGTACATACGCCATGAGGAAATCAAGACTTACAATGTTATTATTGTAAATTTAATGATATAAAGAGGGTGGGGGGTGAACCCAGCTGACCTAAATGGACTGTATATCTTTTTGGCTTACCCGGCCGTGTCAAAATTCATTGCGAGCCACAGTGGCAAAAAGGCTCAGATGAGCTTCACTTGTACCTAAATCCTAACTGGAATTGGATAAAAGTGCTGGATCGCAGAAATGGAAAAGGGACACAGCACCGGGCCATATCTATCCTCAAGCCAAATGAAAACTCAGAATGATGCGTCAATCACAGAACTGACCACAGTGACAGAGAGAGTCTGAGAGTGAGAGAGTCCAGCAATCCCAAAGGCGTTTCACCTTGACAAGGTCAACACAGTGTAAAACCTTCTGTATCAGCGCTTCCACAGAGACAAACAGGCACAGGGGGTGAGTGCATGTGTGTGTGTGTGTATTGATATTGGTATCTGAGGTCTCGTATCGTCTGATACTGATTGAAAAACAGAACTGAATTGTCTTAAAATATTTGTTTCTTTTTAAACACACATTTAAATACACCAATAGCATCACAAGCTAGATCCAACATATAAAAATAAAACAACTTTAATTTCTTCAGTCAGTGCAATTAGGAGTAGAACAGCCAATGAAAAATAAATAATAAATGATTTACACCAGGTTGATGAAACATGTAAAAATAAAGTTAAGCTTCAGTTGCAAAGGATTGTTTTGAGTTATTCCCTGCACCTATAGCCGTAGTTTTACTTTACTGACATCACTTATAACTCAAATAAATACAAAACATTCCACTTCATGCAAGTTTTTTTTTAAAAATCAGATATTTAAATGGGATTTTGTGGGATTTTCAAAGACTCTCTAAAGTCTAAAGAAACTGATAAACTTAAAAAAAAAATGATTATTTACCATGTTGTACAGAAAAAAGAGAATATACTAAACAGGACTCTGCAGGTATCCTTGGTAAACTATTCACTAGTTTTCACTTCACTAAAATAGATGCATGACAGCATATAAGCACGTGCAGACTATATATACAAATATAAATATATTCTGTTGAGCTGCAACATGAGCTTGTTACAACAGCAGCTGCTCCAAACTCTCAGCAGAGGTCAGCTGAATGACACCTGTAAAAAAACTAAATGCAACTGAATGTTATGTATATTTGGAAATAACAGGCTATGCAGCTGGTCTATGGTTTGGTATTTAAGCTCAGGTAATGGTGGCACATGCAGCCTGAGTGTTTCTGATATATGAATCAGCCCAAAATGAAACATCTTCTCACTCAGCAGTTCAGTTGCAGTAGAAATGCTTTCCCTCTGATGTGCATTAAGTGCATCTTATCATCTACGACTGTGGCGTCTTTTCCCATTCGAATCATTGAATCCAGGCCTGGCATTACACATCATAATGACAGACAGAAAAATGCTGTTTAGTTAGATGGAGAGATACTGTCAGCATGTCATGACATGCCTCTCCATGACCAAATATTAACTTTTAATTATTGTTTGTTTTTAAAAGAGGTGTGTGCTCACTCTCATCTTTGTAATAAACAGTCCTCTGCCAAAAAGCAAATGTACTGTAGTCGGTTCCTCGTTTCAGGAAAAACAACAGAGAACAAAAGGAACGTCTGTGGATCGTCACGCATGCACACAGCGTAGTGTTTGCTGAAAAGTATGGGTGTGCATTATTTAGCAACAGGCAACCCTCCATTTTCAGTATTGACCAAGATGAAAAGGTGGTGGCTGATGTTAACTCTGCAAATAACAATGGGAACACTTTCATTTGTAATTCTGTGACACAAACGTCCTTTTTTGTGCTAAGAAATCAGCTGCATCAAGTCTGCTCCTTCTGACTCATGCAGCCTTTTAGAAATAAGCCCAGATGAATGTCTCTTAAGGGAATAAACTGATTGCTATGCTTGAACTTGAATGACCCAGTTTATAATGAGCTTGATTTAAAACAGTATACATATTTACTTTTGTGCTATTTAGTTTGATTTTTTTTTATTGAAATAAAAACTTAAAAAGTGCTGAATGAACCAAATAGCCGATTGTAAAGCAGCTTTGAAAGATCAAAATCAAAGTGAAACTGACGTTTTCCTATTAGCTCAGTAAGTGGTGCTAATGCAGACATTTTCAAAGAATGCTAAGAAGATTTCTACTGAATGTTGAAGTCTCTTAATCGGCTTTAAAATATTTGTCTGATTTCCAAATAAACGTGCGAGTCAGTTATTTAAGTAAAGTAAATAAATAAAGCAGACATCATTTTCTGAAGCATATATTAACAATATAATGTCTTAAAAGTGACATATTCGGCCCAAAAGTAAGGAAATTATGGCCAATTTATCGTCTGACTGATTTATCAGTTCATCTTTAGAAAATAAGCTGTTACTTTGTGTCTCTCAACAAATTCATACTTTAGCAGAAGTAGAAAGGAAATTCAAAAGGAAAATGAGAAGATTGAAATATCTTGACCTTGTTCAGACAGTTTACAAAGAAGAAAGGCAAACATTTTGTAGAATTTAAAGCTTTTTTGTGTGTGTATGCGTGTGTGTGTGAAAGAGACTTATCACCTTTTGTTTCACTTGTAGGAAACATCTTTGTGGTTAGCCTGGCTGTGGCAGACCTCGTGGTGGCCATCTATCCTTACCCTTTGGTCCTCACCTCCATTTTCCACAATGGCTGGAACCTGGGTAACGTCCACTGCCAGATCAGCGGCTTCCTCATGGGGGTCAGCGTCATTGGCTCCATCTTCAACATCACCGGCATCGCCATCAACAGATACTGCTACATCTGTCACAGCCTCAAATACGACAAACTTTACAGTGACAAAAACTCTGTGTGCTACGTGGTCCTAATATGGGCGCTGACTGTGGTGGCCATTGTGCCCAACCTGTTTGTGGGTTCGCTCCACTACGATCGGCGGGTTTACTCCTGCACCTTCAAACAGTCAGCCAGCTCTGCGTACACGATCGCAGTGGTGTTTTTCCACTTCATTCTACCCATCATGATTGTCACCTACTGCTACCTGCGCATTTGGATATTGGTTATACAGGTACGGCGACGGGTCAAGCCAGACAATCGGCCCAAACTGACGCCGAACGACGTCCGGAACTTCGTCACGATGTTTGTGGTTTTTGTACTCTTTGCCGTTTGCTGGGCGCCGCTCAACTTCATCGGCCTGGCTGTAGCGATCAAACCGGAGGTCGTTGTTCCCCTCATCCCCGAGTGGTTATTTGTGGCCAGCTACTTCATGGCTTACTTCAACAGCTGCCTTAACGCCATCGTATACGGTGTGCTGAACCAGAACTTCCGGCGGGAGTACAAGCGCATTGTGGTGTCGGTGTGTACAGCTCGCATCTTCTTCCAAGACAGCTCCAACGACGCAGCGGAGAGACTCAAAAGTAAACCATCGCCGCTCATGACCAACAATAACCAGGTCAAGGTGGACTCTGTCTGAACCAGAACAGATTTTTTATGCTGGAATTGAGAGTTTCTCTATTTTTTAAGGCTAACTGACAATAAATAAATAAATCTAAACATAAAAGAGCTTCTGTCCTCTGGGCTTTTATGACGTTCTCACTGTACGGTGCTATCTGACCTCTGAACAATCACAGTAAAAACAGATGTTTCTATATTCTTTGTCTTTGTAACAAGCACTTTGTTTGACTCTGCAGTACACGTAGTAAAGTAAATGAATAATGTCTGCTTTGTTTTCATATTTGCATCGATGATATTAATGTAGAATTCAATTATTTTTGTGAATCTCAAAATGATACATACCACTGGCAGATTTAGATTAAGGAAGCCATTTTTAGTTAACCAGCAAGAACAGGTATATATTTTTTTAAATGACATAACACTGGAATGAGTGTACGTATGATGCTTTATTGGCATAACAGGAATCAACCCCTCCCCAAAGTTTTTTTTTTTTTTTTTTCCCTACACTGGATGTACTCACATTCAAAGGTTGAAAATTTCTAATCTTTCAAGTCTGAGACTAGGGAACTGAAATACTAAGATGATATACACGTTAACTTGGATGCCGACAAATGAGGATAAAATCACAAAATATTCATTTCTAATGTGGTTTTTGGTGTAAGGTAACCCTTTTATTTTACTACCATGTTTCCTCTAGATGGAATCATTGATTTGTTGAAGTGACCCAGTCAGAGTCCCAACTCGATCCGGACTGAGACTCGGTGGAGGGAGCTGAAGTTCGGGGATTCGGAAGTAATCATTAATGTTAAATAGTCAAAATAGCAGTGCAAACACGACTCTGACTGTTCTGATTACAGCAAATATTCCAATAAAATATGAACAGACAATCCTATTCTTCAAACTGAGAATTGAGAGATTTTTTGCTCAATTTTAGTGTGAAAATAAAGGTAAATCTGCCAGTGGTATAAAAGATTTGTCTCATAAACAAACTATATATATATAAAACAAACAAGGGATCATCAAAAAGTAATAATTAAGCCCAACATCGTTTTACTTTTTGTTGAACATATAATAATGGCGTTAGCAAGTTTAACAACAATATTTGTGACACTGTAACACTACTTGAGTACCGGCTGTATGAGTTGCTGCTATCTTATTATGCCGTACAATATTGTCCTTATTCTTTAGGTGGAATATTACAATTAGTAAGAGGGAACTTTCTCTCACTCCTGTGAAGTCAATATACTATATGCATGGATATAACAACTTGTTCATATGCAAAATAAAATCGAATATTGATCTTTGAATGATGGAGTTGCTCGCTTTATTCTTCCAGGAAGACATTCTGGGTTTTTTGTGTGTGATCAACTTAAATTGCCACAATATTTCAGGGAACATCTCACAAGGAGAGTTTTACCTCAACAGGACAGAGATGTTCACTACAAACATTTCTTGTACTTTTGCCACTGTCTACTGATGACCTAACATGTTTGCTTCAGCACATTTTGTGTCCATTTGTCTGATAAAGTTGCAATAGCAATAAGTGGACACATCCTGTGAAGTAGCACTCTCCATTCCCATTGACATTTTTTGCAGCCTAACAAAGTAACCTAATATTTGCTGATGAACACTTGTGTTTATTATCAATTAATCAGTGAAGTGGTTTATGCTGCCTTTTGGAGTACGGTCATCTGGCTGCAAAGGACTCAAGGACCTTCGTACTAGAATGACCTTTTACACAGGTTATCATGTGACTTTTATCTTGTAGGGCTGCAATTATTGATTATCTTAGTAATCAGTTATTCTAGCAATTCTTCTGACCTTTAATTGGATAAAACAAATTGCTCATTCAGCAGATTTTTCATTCAATTTCATGACCCTGTATTAAACAAACATATCAGCATTGCTTTGTACTCTGATCATTTGTAGCAAAAGATGCATCTTTGCTTTTAATATTTCTAATATCAATATGTGAAAAGTGTAAGTCTTTTTGCTTAATTAACATCAGTACAAATACAGTGCAGAATTAGCTGATTAATAACTGAATGATAAAAGGTGCTTTACACAATTTCTTACGTTTTGAACCAGGTGAAACTAATATTACGCTGCTTTGTATGTAAAACATGACATACAAAGGTTTTCTTATCTTGAATTGAAATGTTTTGTTTTTTTTGTACAGTTTTGGCTTAATTATTTGAGTGTGTATAATCCACCTAATGACTAATTAGTTTCTAAATTAGTTATTTACTTCAATTATTTGTTCATCCAATCGATCGCTTCAGCCTTTTGCCACATGTACCTTTTGTCAGATTACAAAGTTTGTCCTCAGTTTTGCTTTTTCAAAAACAATCAACACAATAATGCTTGACATAAACTTATTGTATATTTGAACAACCTTTTCAGGCATTGTGATTCCATCTTAAAATGGTCAAATGGTCCATTAAAGTAAATGATTTGATGGTGTGAACCTCCCCACCGTCTGTTATTTCATGTTCTGCTGTAAAGCCATGCAGTTCTGTCAGCAGAAACACACAGCCGTTCAGGGTCAGTTTATGTAAAGTGTTGGTGGGCACCAGTATCCTTCAGATTGTGAAGGACTCTCCAGTGTACAGGAGGCACCAGCTCTATAGGCTTACTGTACATCAGGGCTTTGATGTGTGTGACATTTTTTCTTTTTTTTGCGTAGGCAACGCTGGTTGTTGTAACACACAGAAAGGCGCCGGCAATACAGCGGAGAGAACAGCTCAACAATGCACTGGAAATCCACTTGGTTTACGTAACGCCTCTGACCATCATCCTCTAAGCAGGAGCTGAAAGAGCTCCCTGTGGACCCCCTCCTCCCACCCCTCCCCCCAACCATTTAATCCCAAGAGCTGTGTTTGATAGGGAAACAGAGGAGGTTGGTGATGAGCAAATGTAAAAATCCCTGGGATTTAATCTGCCCCCAAACGTTGTCATACAGTAATCTGGGGCCAAAGACTTTTTATAGCCCAGGGAGTACAACAAATGAAAGAGAAAAGGCAGATGTTTTATATCCACTGATTTAGAGTTCATTCATTACTCATTTAATACTTTTAAGAAAAAGATTAAAGAAAAAAAAGCTGATGAATCCGTGGTCAAATATGATTCACAAAACATGCAATTCTGCAGCTCAAAGATTAATCCCTTCTTCAGATAGAGTCTAAATGCAAAACATGCTCTGAAAATATGAATCAATGTGTCCCTTATTTTATAGAATTTGTCTCAACCAAAACAAAAAATGCTGTTGCTTCAACATCCTGTAGTACCAGACGCTGTTTCTAAAGGTTTGGGTCAGGCCAACGAGTCTGGGTTTCATCCATCAGCAGGTCCTTCTGGAACCACAATATTCTGACAAGATCCCTGGCTGGCTGGTTTGTTTTTGATCAGAACTGATCAAAATAAAGTGTTTATGAAAACAATTGTTCAAAATATAAAAGTATGCAATTGTTTTCAGAAGAATTGAAAACATTGATCAGGAGTGAGTGAAAATAAAAAGACTGAGTTTTGAACTTTTGGAACGTATGGTCTTAATAGCAAAAGAGTCAAACGCAGTAGCGTTGAAGCCTCTTACAAGTCATATTATAGTGTCAGTATTTTAGCAGGACACACCATTTAAATACTATCTATGATTTCCTTCTTTTACCTCTGGAATATTGCCAAAATTTGAAAGGTCCTGAAAAACTAGCCATTGTCAAATTCAGATGTGTTTAAAGCTGCTGGAGGACTTAAGAATTATTTTCGCCACTTTTCTATGTTCTTTCTTCTTTTACTCTCTGTTGCAGCAAAATGTGGTTTGATGTTCTGTTTAGCTCTGATATCTTCCTGCTGAGGATCTCAGAGTTTAACCTCATCTCTGTCCTAGTCAAAGCTCTTGGCTGAGCGTTTGCTGCTACTTTCACTCTGTAGACTTGCAGATTCTATCGATGGGTTGGTCCAAATGGTTTTCCACTTGGATCCATTTCCTTTGAGGATGTCTCCAACCGGCACTCACTGAGAGTGTCTGTAATCAGAACTGTAACGATAATAATAATAATAATAATAATAATAATAATAATAATAATAATAATAATAATAATAATAATAATAATAATAATAATAATAATAATAATAATAATAATAATAATGGAGGAACTGGGTTCCTGTCTAAGAAAGAAATTCAAATAATTGACTTTTATTAATTATGAAAAAAAGTGATAAAGTGTTTTTATTTTTCTTGAACAGACACTTTGTGTTTTTCTTCTTGTTCTCTGCTCTGTGGTCTCAAAACTCCAGCTGGTCGTGGCAGATTGAGTCTCGTTCTGGTTCTGCTGCAGGTTTCTTCCTGTTAAAGTGGAGTTTTTCCTCTCCGCTGCTGCCACATGGATGCTCAGTTTGAGGGTTTGCTGCGACGACACAATGCAGGCGATTGTCCGCTGTGCAGGAGGAGTGAATGCTGCAAGTCTTTCCCTCAATGCAATTTTCAGGTTTCTAAACTGATTCTAAACTGATTTGGATTTAACTGAATTAAATAAGCTAAATTGAATTTAAACTCTGTTGTATTTTCCATTTCATGCCCTTTAGAATCATACCACTATTTTGGGAACTTTGCTAATGAATGGGACCTCCGAGCTAGTGATTATCGCCACGGGAACCAGAGGTCCAACTGTTTTTCCAGTGTGATTCCTGAATTATTTACATCTTCTCAAATTGCCCTGGAAGAATTAACTTTGGTACAGTTTGATGTGGTTTATGCAATCATTTCAGTGCAGAGCATAAACATGAGGTTTTGTGTTTCCCCTAAGTTTGGCAACATTCTAGTGGAAGCTTTCAGCAGGGCTGTTTTACAGTGTAAAGTAACTGACCAAAATGAATGTTGGCCTTAATAAAATAATAGATTTTAGAAGTACAAATGCAAAATGTTGTGCTTTGAAAGTTCTGCATCATCAGTGTTTATTGTGACAGTTGAGCTGAAGCCTGCGGTGCATGTTTTTATTTTTGTATTGCAATGATTGTAAAAAGCTTTCTTTTGTATTTTATATCAAAGAAAAATCTATATGCATTGGTGCAAAATCATCACTATCATGTTCACGGGCTAACATAATCTTAGCGTACTTAAGACGGGGTTAATGCTTTTATCAGCAGACTGATTATTGCAAAAGAAGATCAAATGTTCCTCAAATCGTCTTCGCAAAGCGTTCCTGGTTGCTTCTGGCTTGAGCATCCATACAGCTCAAACCAGAAGTTTGCAATGTTTTGCTTCCAGCCACGACGGACCGAAACTGTAGGAAACTGGTATAACTACATGATTAAAATATGCATTAACTTAACCCATTTTAGCTCCAGCAGCAGGAAGAGGAGGAGTTTCAGGAAGGAAACTGTGATGTCATAGGGGCATTGTAACACAGAATGGAACAAAGCTTGTCATGTTTGCTGCACTGCTGCATCAGGAGAGAAGAATCTCTCTTGTGCCATCATTCATGAAGACGACATCGAGGGTAAAAGCTTATCACCAGCAGCTCAGGGTTCAAAGTTTCAGGTTCTTGTCGCAACTAATCCGAGCCGGAGGTCCGATCCTGCGAACGCCTCTAGATTCAGCCGTGCATTGAAACTGGTGTTTGTAACCTGACAGTTTTCTTAATACTTCTTGGAACATTTTTAATGTTTTATTTATATATCAATTGTTGACAAATGTAAACTTGTTATTCTTTTTTTTTAATTATTCATTACTTGATGTAAATTATCTGTTCTAGTTTGCTTTATGTATCTCTGAAAAAAGGAGTAATTGACCAAGATAGAGGACAATGTCGCTTTATGTCCCCATTTTTCTCTCACAGAGAATTAATCCGCAGGTGAATCACCTGGGCTTTGAATGTTCCCAAGAGCTGCACAACACTGCACTCGACTGTCTGGGAACTGCATGACACAGAGGAGATTATAATGATCTCACCAGCAGTCGAGTTACATAAACTGACATGCTAATGGTATGTCCTGAAAGAGACAGAGACCATTAGCAGCCTTGGGGTTCTCCTGTTGTAACGACAGAACAGACGAGTGTGACACATCTGAAAGACGGCAGCTATCTTCTTTCACTTTACTCGACAAATTCCTGAGCGCTTTCCGACTTGAGCGTTTTCTTGTAGAAATGTTGAGCCACATCAGAAAAGTTTCCTACCTTGGATTAGAAGAAGGAACAAATTCCTGCACTCTCGTTTTCCTGCCTCTTTTACTCGTTTTCTGTCTCCCTTTCTTTTTCTTTTTCTTTCTGAGCTCACACATACCTTTTAACACATTTCCCAGAAAGACATGT